ATTATTTAAAAAATTAATTGATCGAAACGAAAAAGTAACAATAAGAGAAAAAATTCCTAAAAATGACCGAATTTCTTTTATATATAAATTTTTTTCAGATATTAAAATAATCGAGATGAAAAATTAGTTGGCTTCAATTTTGTATTGCTATAATTAAAATGTATTTTTTGGAGATAGGATAAATGCTTCCTCGATCCATGGATTAAAAACACAAATTAGTAGAGCTTATAATTTATATATCAAATATTATTTTATTTTGAGTGGTTATTTTACATATAAAGGACTTATTTGATGAGAACTATATTCAATATAATTAAATCGTTTTATTAATTGATTTTTTTTTGTTTAATATCCAATTGATTTAATGAAATGTTTTTTACTTACATGTAATATTATTTTATGGAAGATTCTACGATTGAAAATACAAGAGAGAGAAAAAAAGATTTAATGGAGCCAAATACAAGCTGAGTCACAGTATAATATTTTGTCACTTAAATGGGGTTGAGATTTTTATTTAATCACTCAACTTTTATATATTTGAATTTAATTCTCCAAAATTTATATACATCTAAAATATTTAATATCGTCAAATAAATAAAAAATCGACATCTTTTCGATTGAGTATTAAATTTTTTCAACATTGTTTTAAATTTTACTTTGATTTATCGCAACTATTTTTAAGAAGTAAACAATATACATGACTCAACATACTTCGTGTCACGTTATGAAGGTAAAATAGATTTGTATAAAAAAATAAATATCAATCACCAAGAAAAAAGAGGAAAAAATTATTACGACAATGCTCCGTGATGCACGGAGCAATTTGCTCCATGGCGCATTTTTTTTTATATTTAAATGATGCTTAGTGTCAATTTTTTTTTTGTTTTTTTTCATTGGGCGATTGATTTTTTTTTGTGTCAATTTTTTTCAATTTTTTCACTGGGCGATTTATTTAGTTTTTTTATTTATTTAAAAAAATCTACCATAAATCTTCTATATTATCTCGAAGTTTATTTTAAAAACTATAACATAGACACATCGAATGATCTAAATGAATATCAAAAATAATTAAATGTACATCAAACGTGTGTGTTAAAAAATATGTATAACTCGTCATTTTTTCTTTAAAAAAATCAATTATTTTATTAATGTTTATTATTTTTTCTCGACAATTTTCTCAATATAATTTATATAATTTTCTTGAATTTTTTTTTTATGTATATGAAATCAACTATTTTTTTAAAAATTTTCTTTTTGGACATAAAAATTCAAATTATGCAAAATAGGAAATCAAACCTTTTAGGTAGCATACTATTTTTGACTTTTTGTTATTTCTATACATACAAAAAGGCCATTAGACCCTTAATGTGAGAGTTACTGTGTAAGTGAGTTGAGGTTAAAATGGAAAACATCTAAATACATCCTGAATGAACAGTAACCAGCTAGTTCGCTCTTTTACGACAATAGTGCTAGTGAGTAGTTGATAGTGATTTATGGATGGTATATGATTGAATTAATAGGGAGCTACAGTAAATGACTTGTTTAAGTCAACAATGGAAACCAACAAAGCATTCGCATTAATTTTATTTATGTGTAGTAAATAATTAAAGCCTCTTTTCAGTGGAAATGATGTTGAACGGGTTTAGCTACAGTAGGGAGCCAATTTAATGTGAACGCTCCGCCTCAAGATGAATAGTAATGTTGGCATCCTCTCTTTTAAAGTAAAGGGGGATTAGAATCTAGGTGACATATAAGTTGAAAACCTTTTGATTTATATGACATTAATATCTAATAATTAGATACTCAAACATGAAATTGGTCTCTACCACCCAATAATATTATTAGGTACTTATTGTAATTCATAAATATACCAGAATATATCTACTACAAAACTAAACATGCAAACATAATATTAAATACGAACCTATCGTTGTCTGAAAAGTAATGTGAAAATAATTCTAGGCGATTGAATTCACAATCTCTCATTAAAATAATTTAGTCTCCTAGTGCTCAGTTATAAGTAATTGGCTTCTAAGATATAACGAAATTCATTCCAAGAAGTAGCACCCCAATCACATAGGAACCCACAATTATAAATTTTGCCTTCGTAATAAATTTTGGCAGAATGGAATTTTCACACAAGTTAGAGGTTTATTCTAAAGAAAATAGAGGGAGTAAAATAAATTTTATTGTGTAAAACCACTTCATTGAATGCCATAAATATTACTTTTGTCTGTGGCTTGGCCCTTTAATTTGTTTTATGAAAAGGTGTAAAAAGAAAGGGAGCAACTTTTAGAACAAAAGACAAAACTCTTAGATCAAAAACTTTTAATTTGAAAGACATAATCATTAAATACGTATTTATAAATTTCTTCATTTCAAAATGAGATTATAATTTCTTTACTCAACACTTTCAATTTCCAAAAAATTTATTTATTTTTAAAATAAAAAAATCGCATATAAAAGTATGCATATGAAACATAAATCTGCATAGCAAATAGAAATTTTGACGAGCGTATCTGATAAGCTGATTGTGTTTTTTTAGCCCATGTTTAATGGGGATTGAAATCTCTCTCTCCCTCTCTCTCTTTTTTATAAGTAAATATTGATAGAAGTTGATGAAATGCGTAGTCGAAAAATTGTGAATTCCATAAAATGTGTGATTAAAATTAATTATTAATTTTGACTTATATGAAAATCTAGAGCTTGCTTGAGACCCTCCCTTTTTTTGGGTATAAAATACATTTTGAAATAGTAGATTAATGAAAAATATATGGTTAAATAATAGGAAAAAGTTTTGAGTTCATGTGCAATATTATTTTATCGAATAATGTATGATGGAAAAGGATAGAGTGAAACATTTATTTTGAAAAAAATGAGGGTCAAACAAGGGTGTGGATTTTAACTGTTACCAAACAATGGCATGATCTAGATGGAGTTCCAGATATTTCCATTTGTCAAAGGTTTATTCCATAGGTAGAGAGGAACTCTCTAGATTAGACACATGGGATGAACCTCATTTGATTAAAATATTGTCCGAAAAATTCCACCTGCCCCTCGTATTGTATCGAATTTGGAGGGGGTTCTGTACACCCCTCTCTGTACATGTAGCCTCTCTCTTTGCCAAATTACCTTAATAGAGTCTTTGTCAGGTTAAAATAAAGATAAATTTTTTAAAACATGGTCTATTTTGCTTAAGTAGCATTTTTAACAACCTATTGGGGGGAAAATATAGGAGATACTCTTAGGCTATTGCTTTTCATTTTCCCTTTATTCTCCAATTATATGTTACTTTAATTTATTTTAAGGATTATGTAAATATTAGACCCAATGCTCATTGGTTTATCAGTCACGTGCAGTGCCAATTAACTTTAACGACATTTCTAATGAAAATTTTATTGGAAGACAATGGCTGCCATTAAAGAAAGATTGGAGATATTGTTGGCAAGAAATTAAGATTGAAAGTAAAAGTGTAAAAACGTGGAAAGGTTGAATATGGTGGTCGCACTTTTCCCTTTCCCTTTCCCTTTCTTTTTATTTTTTATTTTTGTTTCTCTCAATTTTCTTTGTATGTAGTTATTGTCATTCAAAATTTTATGATAAAATTGTCTCTTGGTTAAACATAATTCTAATTTGAAATTAAACTATGAGCAAAGACGAGGTTTCATCCCATAGTACAATAATCTTTAATCAAACTAAACTTCTATTCCAAAATGAATTGAGGGAAATTTGCAGCAGAGTGCATTCTCAAACCTTGTGATCATAGCACCTACATCACAAACCTTTTAAAAATGTGCATCTAGAAGACCTTTGGACGGTTTGTGTTCCAATAATTGTTCGTTGACCAAGACTCAAGTGTTTGAATTTAGAAAAAGAAAAAAAACGCAAAATGGCAACTCTATATCTTTTCACCCATCTTTATTCCGTCAATCTCTTTCTCCATTTTCATTCTCACCCATCCCATGGAGAAAAAAATATATTATCAAAAGGAACAACGATGAATGGTGTAGACCCAATAGAAAACGATGCCCGACATCATCGAAACTAAGGCCCAACGGGAATAACGGTGAATGGTAAAGACTATTGATAGTTGATTGAAGTTACGGAATAAACGAATTCAGTGATGCATTGGTCTTTAAAGTGGACATGATGGCAATGGTTGTTGGAGGTGGCAATACCCTTTTGTGCTCTGGTATTTGTAAGGCCACCTTTTTAGTCTTGATTTCATTGCGGAGGAAATAAGATTTGCCATCGAGCAAGTTCAAAATCTAAAATTTTTGTTTGGATATAGGTTAGTTGTGAAACTAAATCTGATTGTGGTGGGGTGGGAGAGTGATGGCGCCGCAACAACAACGGAAGTGAATGGAGGCGAAGGCGACGACGACATCGGTGGCAGGAGATGGTGAAGCTCCATATTTTTTTTTGTAATTTTTTATTTTGTTTGTCAATTATTAAGTCTTTTCTCATTTTAATTACTTTAAGTGAAAAATATTAAAAGATTCTTTAACTTTTAAAATAGGTCAAACGCTGGACTCTAGGTCATCTATGATCGTTTGGACAAAATTCATCTAGAGATCATTTGATCGCACATTCATTAAAAGGTTTGAGTTGCAGGTGCTAATATTAGAATATTTAAGACTTGATTATACATTTTTTGAAAAATTGGAAATCTCTAAAATAAATTTTCCATAAAATTTCGAACAAAAACAAGATATCGAATAAAATGGAACTTTATTAATCCTTGTTTAATTTATTAACTGTATTATCTTGATTACTTTTACAAAATCTCTTGACATTTTTTCGATGAAAATTAAAAAATAAAAATAAAATAAAATAAGGAGCTCCAATCCCCAAAAGAGAACAAGCGACGGGTCAGTTTCATTCAACTTTAAACGAGGACGTTTCTTGAGCTTTCCCTAGAAAACCAACCGGTCGCTATTTTAATCCAAAAAAACCGAATTAAAAAAAAAAAAAGAAAAAGAAAAAAGAAACACACAAAAGGTTCCCGTACACCGACGCACACAAGATTTTAGTCCTCTGGGCTTCTTCGGATTTGCCATTACAATGCAATTTCTCTTTGATTATTCCTTCAAGCATATATCCCGGATCGACCCCTTGTTCAAATTCTTTATTATTTTACTGTGTATTTATTAATTCTCTCTATTTTTCTCCTACAATCACGCCCTTTCCACATCTCTCTGATCATTTCCTTCACTCTCTCTGTCTTTCTGTTCCACATAACTGAATGCTTGATTCTTCAGCTACTTTGATAGCGTCTCGAATTCTTAGATATAATTTCCATTTTTTTATGGGTTTTTTAATTCTGTTCTGATGATATGATGATGTGCAAGGATTTGGTGTTGTACAGGTGAATTCAGGGAAGATTGACCTTTCTTCAATTCAGAATGGGGGCCTCTCCGGCCAACTTCTTGTTTGGATTCTTGTTTTCGTCCATCGTGCTATGGCTTATTTTCATGTAAGTTGTTGAGAATTCAGTTTTGACTTTTGTACTTGTATACGTGTGCTGATCATGTGAATTTCAGCAGGTATGTCGATTTCTTGTTTTGGTAAACTGATGTGATGTGTAGTTTAGAGTTAAAATTGAGCTTGCAAATGTAAGATGATTATCATTGTACATATATTAGTTAGGGAAGTAAGTAAAAATTGGTAATGCCTGACCAATCTCATTCCACAAGAGCAAGTTACGGCCATTGAGCCATATTGTGCTATCCCTTAGATATGAACATCAAGTTTCAGTAGTCGAAACTTGCTCTACTCCTTTATAAAATAAATGAAGAAATAATAAAAAAACTCTCTAACAATGTTGAACGCAAATGGAAGTCGAGAAATGGAAAAATCTTTACTCCTTCAGCTCAGTTTATACACCTGTTGGTTAACAACGCATGCCTTCAGTAATCTCTGTCTATATTTTTTTTACTTGTATTTAGTCATCATCAGGTTCATCAGTTCATTTATTTGACATCTCAGCCACTGTCAAGTCTCAATTTCGTAATGGACCATTTGACAGTGAAGTGAATGGTGCGATTGGTTTCTCCTTGCATTTGCAAGCTTCCTGTACTTCGCTTTTACATTATTACTACTTTTACAGATTCAATTATCTCCCTTTCCTTTCCTTTCCTTCAAAGATTAGCGAAATTTAATTGCCCAACAATGAAATTTTCCTTGAAGTAACTTATAATGCGGGATTTCATTTTTAATATCTTTTGATCATCGAAGTTTTTTATGCATCAGCTCCTCACTCATTGGAATTAAAGAAATACATTCTTTTCTCCCTTCCACTTATGTTATTATTATTATTATTATTTTGTTTTTTGAAAGGCCCTTCCACTTATGTTCAAATAGTGAAAATTGTGCTTCCTGTTAGCAGTGCCTTTAAATGGATGAAAAAGGCCCCCAGTGTTCACAGAACCCCTGGCTAGTACCATGGTACCCCTTAGTGGCTGGAAAAATGGGCAACTAATAACTAAAATAATATGAAATAAAGACAAATGTACACCTAAAAAGAGCTCGTCTAGATCCCAATGATCCAATTTCAACTATTGCTCAAGAACACATCACTTGGCACAATCTAATTTCAACTCAAGTAATCCTAACTTTTGAAGCTAGTAGAGTACTTTACTGACTTATGAATGAGGTTCAGAGGATGCCTGGTGATAGCACCAAAGAGAGAATGAATGGAAAATTTAGTACTTATCTCTCTTCCCATAACTATGATCTCAATTCTCAATTTTAGTAGAAACCCATCTTATACATAAGCAATGTCTTCTTATATTTAATATTCTGAGTGCTAGAAAGAAGCTATATTTCAATGAATGTCAATTATTAATTCTTTTTTCATTTTAATTATTTTAATCGAAAAATGTTAAGAGACTCTATAATCCTTTTTAAAAATGGGTCAAATGCTTGACTCTAGGTCAACTATAGGTCATTTGGACAGAAACCATTTAGAGGTTCTTCGATTGTGCATTCATTAAAAGGTTTGAGATGTATGTTCTAAGATTAGAAAGTTCGAGACTTGACTGCACAATTTTGAAAGGTGTGAAAATAAATTTCAATGAATGTCAGTGTGAAGAATGCTAGCGATGATCAAGAGTACAATAGCTATTTTATTTGCCATCATGAATCATAATTAGTGGATCAACCTAGCACTGAAATATTTTATATAGAACAGTAACTGCAGATGTTAGATTATGTGCATCAATATGTTTGAATAATTCTCTATCTAATTGAGACGACATATGCTTTATATAAGGAAGAATTTCCATGAAACTAAATGTTGAGTGAAAATTAGGATACAAATGGAGTAAACAATTATAGCTCCTGTTATGGCTACTTTACTCAAGTCTTGGACCTCCTCGCTTTATTACTGTTATTTTATCATCTAGGAGATATTTGCTTTTTCAAAAATGAAAAAAAGGATCTGATACATGAATCATTTTCCTTCTTTCTATATATCTATGGAAATATCTAATCAATTCAAATCTTTCTTAACCGCAACCACAACAAACCATGTTATTTTGATCTACCTCTCCTTCTTCTAACCTATTCTGACTAATAGAGGTGTATATCGGTTCAAACAAACGGATCTGTGTGTTTTTCATCGTTTATTTTTATTTCTTTTATTTCCCTTTTTTTTTTCTAAAAGATGCAACTAGAGATAAAGGTAGAGATGAAAAGCAATTAGAATTATCAGTTTATTAATTGTGATCTACAATGTAAATTTGTTTTCAAAGCCTCACAACAAGATGTATCACTATAGTTTAAGCACATTCAACACTTGTTCTTGTCTAGACAACTTTAGTGAAGACCATGCCCTACAGAAGACATTAGCTTATCAATTTTTCTGTCTTTGGGAACGCCAGACCTTCAAGGTACTTATGCAAATCCTAAATCCTAAATTAAATTTGGGATTCTCAAGCCCAATCATACCCAATCATACTATTAGTAGTCTTCCCTTATGCTTAAAAATCCTTTTGACTGTCTGACATTCACTAAAAGGCTTATTGTGGTGGAAAACTCTCAGAAGAAACCTATCACTTTCTATTAGTCTGTGTCACTGCCCTCATTGCCTTTTATTTATTTACTTAATCTTTTGTGTTAAGAAGTGTAAATTGCACTAGTTCTACTTTCTATCTTGGTTTCAGATTGCTCATGGTGTATTATCTTGTTTCAGGTTTGCTTCCAGGCTGTTGGCTTGGATCCTCAGCCGTGTTTTGGGAGCATCAGTTGGATTTCGTGTTGGTGGATGGAAATGTTTGAGAGATGTTGTTGTGAAAAAAAAAAAAAAAGGGGAACTTAATCCTACCACTATATCAATTCCTAGTTAAATTAAGAATATAAAAATAAATAGAAAATAAGTTAAAGTAGATTTTGTATTGTATAATTGAATTTCTATTCCAGAAATCTTTTCCTCAAGTTAGCATCGATATCACACATGTCCAAGTTGAATAACAAAATAATTGTTTGAGAGAGCAAAGTATTTGTCTTCACGTGCTTCTACATCTGAGATTCCTTTATCATTAGTTGTTTGTTGCTGGAAATATTATGTGTACGTGATAATCTTTTTTTTTTGCATTTCATTTTTCCTCGTGTTCCTCGTTCTCTTGATGAATTTATTTTCATGACATGGTTAATCCCAATACTTGCTATAGCATTAATCTAAATAAAACTAAGACAGTAGAGAGAGCAGAAGGGACAAAAATTATAAAATATATGAAATATTATACTTTGAAACACTTGCAGTGCAGGAAGAAAAGGGAAAAAGCCTTGTATAAGCCATATATTTTGTTATTCAAGTATTTGTGTAACTGCATATATAGCACTGATTATCTTATCAGCTTAGATTAAAACCCATTGTGATGAAAAGTTAGAATATATTACTATACCATTGTACTCCATTTATTTTCTTCTTTTAAATGACAAAATCATAAAGTGTGCTCCTTAATGAGTTTCACTATAAGTATCTGTGATTTCAATTGCTTTTGGTTCTTACCGATTGATTCTTTTATCATGAGTTATCATTTGTTTGATACCCTGTCAACTAATACTGGATGGTTCACTTTAACACTGCAGACACCAAAAGCCACTTTGGATGTCAAAGAGCTGAGGGTAGATATATCTAAAGATGCTGGATCTGAGGCGGGATTGTCTGTAAAGCTGCAGCTTGTTCCAATTATTGTTTTCTTGGGTGAATCACGAGTGACCTATGATCTATCAGTAACCTCTGGTGGATGTTTCTCTTCTAACCATATGAAAGAAAGGGTGTGTGCTCCTTTCAGCTGCGAAGAATTCTCTCTCTTGTGCGAGCTTGGTCATGATAGGTAGGTTTTGTGTTACACTCGTTTCCATGAATATTTTGTAACTCATTTGAAGAAATGAGATATAACAGATAATAACAACAACAACGAAGTAAGCCCTTTTCCCAATAATGGGGTCAGGACATAAATCGTTTCCGCCACTTGGTTCAATTCATTGCTAGAGATTTTCTAGAAGGTCTATAAAGCATATAAACCCTTATCTAGTCCACACGCCATGATGGTTTTGTTCTCTTTCTCTGGGCATGTTTTATGGTAATCACGACAGTCTTTTGAGCATAAATCTCTTTAGATGCACGCAAAATATGTACAACTTTCAAGTTGCCCTGCCTCTAATTATCATCAGTTGGCAACACCTCCATTTGTTGGTGCATATTCTCATTTCTTTCTTAATATAGTATGACTAGACATATATCTTAGCATCCTCATATCTCACATCTGCTACCTTCATCGTATAGACATCAAATTCCGAGAAATCCAGAATTAATAAAAATGGGCTATCCGAGCCAAATCCTGTTGATGTAGCACTGTATAGCTAACACTAGAATATGAATATCTACGAGGACCTCCATCTCTTGTATCCTGTCCTTTAATAGCTCAACGCTTAGTGCCATGAAGTATGCAGGTCTAATCACTGTTCTGTAAAACTAGCTATTAACTTTACAGGTCTTAAAAGTATACTGTATGCATTTCAGACAATATTTCATAAAAGCCGTGGGAACTGAGTTTTTAATTTTTTCATGATTGATAAAGAAAGATCCTGTGCTATGTCTGGGACTTTGGGGGTTTTCCTTCTCTATGTTACTAACAATAACTATATTCAAATTTGGACTTAATTAGTTTTTGCAGTTAGATAATTTTATTAATCAAATGATAATATAGAGGAAGTATATTATCAACTTAAACAAGAAAGAAATGACATGAGGTTAGGCAGCCATTCTATATGATTAGTAGCCGCATCATTAAATCAAGTATACAAGATTAGATAAAACAATTCTCTGATATGCTCTGTTGTCTGTATGTGGTCTTCAAAACAATGGCTATTTATTTCTTTCCATACACACAATACGATGCATCCCGAAATAAGATCCCATACAAGCTTATTATCCCCATCACGAAGTTTTCTCCTCCATGCTCGTAATATGCCTTCTATACACGTAGATAACACCCAATCTATACGTTGAGAAGCCAGAATATCATTGTACAGCTAGCGAACACTATCATAATGAATGAACAAGTGGTCAGTCGTCTCCCCTATCTGTCTTACATTGCCACACCATCTTCCAGGGGGATGAATTTTTCAAAGGTCCCAGCATGGATCTAAAATAAGTAAGAACTGAAAAAATACCATCATGTGTCAACGTTTACCTGTTACAATCACCCTCTCCTACCCGGATGTGTGCATCATGCAAGAAGGTAAAAAACAACGCATAATCATCCAATTCCTAATCCTGTAAACCCATCTCAAAAACAATGTCCAGCTGTAGCTTTCATTGTGTATGGCTCATACATCATTGACCATAGTAGAATGCTCCAAAGCAATGCGATGCAAAGTAAGAAACCACATCTTTAGTAGAGATGGTAAAATAACTCCCCTTGAATGGGGCCAAAAAAACTCGCCTCGATGGGTTGGCAGGATCGGTTTTGCCCATCTCGGTCGAGGGCCGAAGTGGGGATGCCCCGCCCTGAACCCACCCCATGAAGAAGTTAAAAAAAATTAATGTTAATTTGAGCATATTTGCTTTGAATTTAAAATTTTTGAATTTGTATTTTATTCTTTAATAATAGCTTAACTCGAAATTTTGAAAATGTAAATATAAAAAAAAAAAAATGGGGCAAGCCACCTCCATGCCTCGCCCCTCCTGGCGTGGTCGCCCCGCCCCAAATCCACACCACTGCCGTCTCTAATCTTTAGCAGTCTCCACACAGCAATCATCTCAAAATCTGATTTTATTACCTTTCCCCACCATATAAGTCAATTTATCTTGAAAGTCACTCCATCCTCGTCGTATATATCTCCACAAACTCGCTCCATAAGAACTAGGTCCTCGATCGAGCACCAACCCTACTCCAACACACCATACTTTGCTCCTATGATTTCTCTAAGTGCAAGGGAAGCAGGGAGGGATTTTGGGGTATGAATCAGCAACTCTAGCAGTTATGTGTGTCAGTTGTTTATCTTTTTTATATTTTTAGGGCTCATTGAGTACCAGTATTGAATTTATACATGCTACTTAGACACACTTCAATCCCTGCCAAAATTACGTTCACGAAGGAGGTATGCTCTAGACATACTTTAATCTGGACTAACAGACCTAACATTGGCTGGTATACGAGTGGGAATAGATTTAGTTCAAAAACCTTATCATTCTGTTGGCGGCTCAATGCTGTTCTATAGAATTATCAGATGAAGATGGGGAAATGAGTCTTTTTCTAGAATTACCAGCTTAATTGGCACACCCCCTTCAGAAGACTCAAAAAGTACTCTGTGGGGCTGAGCCCAAATGTGTTTACCACTTTGTTCCTCATTCGTCTTCTCTTCTATGAAGTAAATATAGCCCAAAGCGATTGGAGAGTTCCATAATTCATGATGGAAAGTGTATTAGAATGGGGAAGTGTTTCAGAATATGTTCCTTGATCTTATTGGGTTCACTTTTGTCGATCAGATTATGGTTCTTGATCTGTTTAATTTCGGCTTTTCTATTTCAGCATCTTGAAAGTTGTATAGCCTAACTAAATATAGAAAAGAGAGAGGACTTTTGCTGGTGATTCATTCAATTTCTTTTCACCTTCTTTCTGTTGATGCAGGGAAGCAGGCGTTGTTGTTAAAAAGCTGGATGCTACAAGTGGAGAAGTCTGTGTAAATCTAAATGAGAAATTACTTTACAAAGAAAAGGGCCCACCTGACACCTCTTCACTGCCTTCCTTTGAAGTTCTACCTACAAACAGCGAAGCTGCATCTATTAAAAAACCACAGAAAAAGCCAGCTTTTTCTGCTATAACTAAATACACCTCTCTATTCCCAGAAAAGGTTGGTTTTCTTTGATTTTCTATGGAGGTACTATTCATTTTTATCACCTTGCTTATTATTGTCATTGATGTTTGTTATACATAATTTCTTGGTCTATTTAGTGGACCATCTGTTTTATTAGAAGATGGAGTTGGATGCTAAAAATATTGACAAAAATATCAAGCGGTTTGTAGGATGGGGGGGGAGGGGTTCTGAATAAGATGCCTGGTTTTCGAGAAATAATCTAGAAAGTAATATGGCAGGAAGAAATACTGGGACTTGATATTTTGTATAACCACTGGTTAGGAGTCCAAGGCATCAGAAGTTAATGTTTAAAACATGAATTAGTTGTGATACAAAAAGTGGATAGAGCAGGAAAAATCTATATTTCATATTCTGGAAGAGAGGTTGATTAATATAACATTAAATTATATTTTTTATATTTTTTTAGTGTAGAGATAATAGAATAGTGCTTTGAATTCTTTAAGGAAGATGAACAGTTTTTGGGTCTTTTATAGTGCATCTTGACAATGTTTCTTGAGGCTATGCTACACATTAGGAATTTAATGAAGGGCATTGTGCAAATAGAACACATCCTACATTTTTTAAATGGTAACTGATGGGTCTTTTATGCCTTTGGAATAGTTAAAACGTTCTTCCATTTCAGAAACTCCTTCAGTTTTAAATAAACTCAATGATACTCGATAAGGCTCGATGCCTCTCAATGTGAGAGGTTCTCTTATTTTATAGAATCTAAATGAAAACTGAATTCAGAATTATTTCTGTATTTTTGAATAATTAAACCTCCTACTTACATCCTTATATAGAACAATAATGTAAATAAAAAGGAAAAACAAATCTAATTTAGGAGAATAATGACTACCTATCAATTATAATATAAATCTATCAATATACATGAACTAAGGAAAGATTTTGATATCTTTCCATAATTTACAAATTCCTACACTCTCCTTCAAGTTGAGCAGTAGATATTGATCACATCAAACTTGCAGATGAGTTCGTGAAAATTTTGCTGAGATAATCCTTTGGTGAAGATATCTACCGTTTGTTCTTTAGTAGGGACGTAAACCATACAAATGACTCCATCTTCAACATTTTCTTTGATGAAATGTCTATCAATTTCCACATGCTTTATTTGATCATGTTGGAATCGGTTGAGTGAAATGCTGTTGGCTGCTTTGTTATCATAATAGAGTTTCATTATTAATTTCATTCCAATCTTCAATTCTTTCAAAGTTTCTTTAATCATAGTCTTTCACATATTCCTTGGCTACTCTGAATTTTTCTTTGGAATTGTTTCTTGCTACTACGTTTTTTTTTTTTTTTTTACTTCTCCAAGTTACCAAATTTCCCCATATAAAGGTACAATAACCCGACGTTGATCTTCTATCTTCTATTGATCCAACCAAATCAACATCCGTAAATATTTCTACTTTTTTCTCTTCATTCTTCTTGAAGAACAATCCCATTTTGGAGGAGCCTTTTAGATACTTGAGAATTTTGTATATTGCTTCGAGGTGAGTTTCGAGAGCGCATATGCGGACTTACAACGCTGACCCTTCGTGGGCAAAAATATTGTCATCGGCGTCAGTTCATGATTGCAAATTGATGCTTTTACTAGCATCAATTTGAGGGGGTTGTTAATGAGATTAACGAAAACACGATTATATTATTATTATTATTGTACCAAATATTGATAGATTACTTTTAAAATAATTAGTTATGATTTTGGTTCTATATAATGAAAGAACCTCTTACGTTGAGGGCATCGAGTCTTATTGAGTATTATTCAGTATATGTCATATCGTTATAATCGAAGTTCATTGGAGCTTGATCTTCTTGTGGGGGGGGGGGGGTAGTTGCCAAGTTTTCCCTATATTTGAATCTCTCACTTTTATAGGAAATTGTATCCGTTACCTGATTAAGGTATTTACTTGGCTGATTTCTTATCGGATGATTAATACTTAAGATTTAGTGCCGATAAAGTGTTCTCGTTTATTTCTCTCTCTCTTGGTAAGTGATGTATAGGAGGAATTCGAATGTATTGATTATTTGTGCTTAGGTCGTGATCTTTCACTTCTATGGTGCAGTTTGCTGAGAAAAGTTGGTTTCGAATGAGTTTTTCTTGAAAGTTGCAGGAGTTAAATCATTGAAAAATTCAGTGGTGTTGATTCAGGAAGGTTGGGAGAAGTTATGTGGGAAGACATGATTTTGGCTATTTGTTGGGTGATTTGGACAGACGAGTTCCAGAGTCTCCTGAGTGAAAAGAACGCATATTTAGTGACGTAGTAGAGCTGAGTTTTGGCTTCTTCACGGGCTTTAATATCTGTGGAGTTTAAGAATTTCCTTCATGTGTAATTTTTCTTGGCTGGAAAAATGTTACATTCTCGATTATGTTTCAGATTATGTCTCAGGAGGACTCATTGTTCTCTTATTGATTGTAATTTATTGCTAATGATTAGTAAATTTCTGCCCTCTACAAACTGCTGATGAGAGAAATGGGTAAGGTGGACTGACAAAAGAATATTTAGATTTATTACTCTGTATTTTTAGTATGTTTGTAAATTTTTCAATTACGTGGTTTCCAACCAATTAGATTTCAGCTAATGAATTCCGAAAGTATTTTGGAAGGCTACAGTAGAAAGTTCCTTTCATGCAACTCTTCGCATTTTCAGATTGGCTCAAGGTTTTTATTTTATTATTATTATTATTATTTTCCTAGATGACATAAAAACGTGTTGCAGATGATATTTGAATGATACACGTGGTCTTGGCAAAAATCCTAGGTTTAGGTCTCGCCACCATTCATATATGAAATTGTAAGTGTCATGTTTTGATGAGGGAAAAGATGAACTCTATCTTCATTGAAGGGAGCATGTTAAAGATAAGATTTAAGTTGTATACAAGTGTCTTATCTAAGAGCTTAGGCTTTTAGATCAAGTCATTTAGTGAAATTGATTTGTCTACAATGTTCTTGCCGCTTTTGGTTTAAGTGATATATATACCTTGTTCTTCCTGCTTTTTTGTTGAAGCAATAATACTGTTGTTTATTAAATGTAGACATTCTCCAGCTGTCCTTTAGAGAGTTTAATGATTCGTTTCCCAATGCTTATTTGATAGGTTGACTTCACTTTGCCTAAGCTGGATGTGAAGTTGGTGCATCAGGGTCTTGTGGTTGAGAATAACATTATGGGTATCCAACTAAAAAGCTTAAAATCTCGATCTGTTGAAGATGTGGGAGAAAGTACGAGGCTTGATATTCAGATGGAATTTAGTGAGATTCACGTAAGTCCACAAATTTGAAGTTCAAAGTGTTGAACAGGTTTATAACTTTCTACCCTTTTACTGATGTAATCTATCATATTCAGTTGCTTAGAGAAGCTAGCATTTCTATTGTGGAAATACAGAAACTTGATGTTGTTTCCTCAGTTTACATACCACTACAGGTATGATTTTCACTAATTACATTTAATGGCATTATCTTTTGCAATACGACTTATCTCTGTATTTTGATAGTTTGCCTACTAATACTTGATTAACACCACATGAACGAGCAGAGTTTCTTCGAGGGAAAGAAAGGGGTGAATTTTTTTTTTTTTTCCTCATCTGTTTTTGGAGAGGAAGAATGGTGAGATTGAAAGCATGCACTGAGCTTGCTGATTCTCTCTGTCTCATATGGTGGCAGGGGCTGAAAATTAGGGCTTGCACTGCTTGGTCCTTCCTGATCATGTGTTTTCATCTCTCTAAATCATAATTCTTACTACTTTCTATAGCATCTTTTGACACAGCATTGTCCATCTGCCATAATCTCCATTATCGTTCAAGTCTCCAGTCTGTTATTTCTGTTCGATATACAGAAGTCTAATAAGGCCATACTAGACTTGATAAGGTAAGAAATGAGACTGTCAACAATCCAGCTGGCAACAATGGAGAATAAATTAACGGAAGGATGAAGGAGGTGGTTTGGGTAGACTGAAAGATGATATCTTTGAACAGGGTATGAGGTAGATCAAAATTAACATGACCTTTTGTAGTTATGAAGGATCTAGTTGCATTGGACCTTCCAATAGATGTTATGATATATATGGAAGGTATGGCATACAAAGATTCATGTAGAGACTTCCAATTTATTGTGGAAATAGGAAATACCTTTGTTGTTGTATACAGAAATCTGCAAGACCAAGAAACATATCCTTTTAGCTTTCTTATCTGTAGTGGGCATTTTGTTTTGGACTTTTTTGAAGCACCCAAATGTATTGAAGTTCATCTTTCTTTGAAAATGTAACTGGCACCACACTAACTAAAGTCTATTTTTCAATGGAGATTAACCTTCCCTGGCTCCGACCTGCTGCCTTCCTTCCCAAACAAACCAGCCAAATAAATCCCAAGAAGAAGATACAAAAAGAACAGGGTTTTTGTCCTATGGAAGTGATGAATGAACTGAAGCTAGCAAACCCTCCTCTAGTTTTTGTGGCATCTTAGTCAGAAAGTGGCCATTTCCAAACCGTTCATTTTCATGCACTTTTTTTTCTTGGTGCTTAAATTTGTCTTTTGGCGTGTAAGGTTTGTGGAGAACTGTTGAATTTTTCAATATTATAGATTTATTCCGTATGCTTAATGGATCATACTTGGATGGAGGCACACGCACTGGGTTTCCCTTCTTTTTTTGTTGGTTAAAGAAATCAGTTTGATGTTAACATGTTACATTAGTCTCTGATTAAGTCTCTTATTTTTTTCGTTCTTTGTCATTTCATTTACTTATATAGGATGCTTTGATTTACAGCCAGCCTCCCCAGTCAGATCTGAAATTGATGTTAAGCTCGGAGGTACCCAGTGCAACTTGGTTTTGAATAGACTAGAGCCATGGATGTGCGTTCTTCCAATAAAGAAAAAAAAGGAGGTTTCAGTAGAGAGTCATGCTGAAGAAAAGCCAGGGTCATCTGAACACAAACCAATCTTGTGGACATGCACTGTTTCAGCCCCGGAGATGATTCTTGTGCTTTATAACTTGAATGGATTTCCACTATACCACGTAAGAGACTATCTCAGTTCAAGTTAATTTGCTCTGTGTCACTTCTAACCATTTTCTCATCCTCCATTATATACTCGAGTACAGCTTCCTGGGCCTTTTCCATTCTTTTTCATTTTTCAGATGACGACTTTGCCTTTGAAACTTCTTAATTTTTTATTATATGTTGCATCTATTGAACTACTGTGGAATCAGGTTGCTCAGGAGAGCTCTGAGCTCCAATATATTTTTTGTCACATGTCACTGCTAAATGCTAGTTTTGACCAATACTGTATGTGATGACCAATCTTTCTACAATACTGGATCTGATATACCTAATGCGTTGATTTTACTGATTCACACTTTCAAAGTTCCTAGTGTGGTGGTATCAATTTTCTTACATCACTTCTTTTGGCACCTGGAATAAATCGATCTTGTTTTGAAATTTATTTGGATAGGTGGAATATGTTGAGCGAATTTTAAATGACGCAGTTGACGTTTGAAGTAGATCTATTGGCACAATAAAATTATGTAAATTTTAGCAATAGCTTGCTGCTGCAAAAACTTTAGAAAGCCGTATGTCAATGCTAATCTGGTTTTGGCTAACTTGGATCCTGTCTTTCCGCTCTACTCTTTTATTAGCCATCTTCGAAGTTAATAAGAAAGGTTCATATCCATTCTAGTCATTTGATTCTGTTTGCTTTTAGGTTGTCCTATTCCTTTAAGTTCGGTAATACCGGTTCCATTGCTTTTCCATCCTGTGGGTTTGTTGAATGTTCCCAAACCACGCAGTTAGTTTCCCATACAATTCATCTTCAGTGGGTGCCAGTGCTGCTAACTCATGAACTTGCATCTCGGCGTCATCAAATCTAACTGTTGAACAATATAATTTTCTCACATTGAAAAGGGCAAGACCCTTGCAGCATTTGGGTTATTATACATTTTATATTATTCTTAATGAGTGGTGGACACTCCAATAGTTTGTGTCCCAAGGACAGCTACTTGCATGTTTTAATTCTCTGTTTGAATGCTCTCTTTTAAAGCCCGTGTTTTGAATACATGGACTAATATGAATCTCACTTATAGCAAACTGTACTTTTTAATTCTGCACTTGCAGTAAATGTTGATAAATGTATTGAAATTACAATGGAAGACCCTTTTGTCATCATCAAGTTACACAAACAAATTTACTAACTTTGTGCAATAAGATACAGAATAATGAAGAATAATTTGTAAGACATTGGGTTTATGCAAATATGTAGAACCGGAGTTCTCTATAGTTAGGATCTTTGGTGAGTAGCCCAGTAAGTCGTGAATATGTAGTTATGAGTTTAGAAGGTTTCTGTCATTCTTTGTTTCTTTCTTTTTCTTTTCTCTTCTGAATTATAATGATATTCTTATTAAAGAAGAAGGGAGATTGTCTGTTCTCAGAAACTATCAATTTTTATTTGCAAAAGATGTGCTCAACCAAGAAAGTTGCTATTATCTTGAAAATGAGTAAAAGAGGAAAAATATCAATACATTCTTGACGATGCATATAAATGATATTAACAGGCTGCTGTTTGTCTGTTTCATAACCCCTACGTATCATTTCTTATGCTTAATTTCATCTTTGATTTTAAATTGTGATGGAACCCTAATTCTCAATTCCAAAATGCAGGGTTGCTCGCAATCATCACATGTCTTTGCTAACAACATATGTAGTTCACGGGCCACCATACATATGGAACTTGGTGAACTAAATTTACACATGTCTGATGAATATCAAGAATGCTTGAAAGAAAGCCTCTTTGGCGTGGAAACAAATATTGGTTCTTTAATGCACATTGCTAAGATCAGCTTGGACTTGGGCGAAAAAGACATGGATTTACTTGTAAATGGTTCCAAGTGTAAAACAGTTCTTACCATAGATGTAACTGGCATGGGTGTCTACTTGACCTTCAAGCGTCTTGAGTCTCTGATATTGACTGCTCTTTCGATTAAGGCCTTGCTGAAAAATTTATCTGCTTCAATCAAGAAACCAATGCATAGCACAGGAGCGAGATCGTCCAGGTCACCGGGGAAAGGGATGCAACTGTTGAAACTGAATCTTGAAAGATGCTCATTAAATATTTGTGCAGACGTGGGGTTAGATAATGCAGTTGTTCCAGACCCCAAACGTGTTAATTATGGATCTCAAGGTGGTCGTGTTTTAATTAGCAAATCAGCAGACGGGACACCTCGCACTGCAAGTATAATGTCTACAATCTCTGATGAATTCAAAAAGTTAAAGTACTCTGTATCACTTGACATTTTCCACCTGAGTTTTTGCATGAACAAGGAGAAACAATCAACACAGATGGAGATTGAAAGAGCTAGATCTTTCTATCAGGAATTTCCAGAAGAGAGCAATCCTGGAACAAAAGTTGTCCTGCTTGACATGCAGAACTCAAAGTTTGTAAGGCGTTCTGGTGGTCTGAAGGAAATTGCTGTCTGCTCTCTCTTCAGTGCGACCGATATATCTGTTAGGTGGGAACCTGATGCGCATATTGCATTATTTGAACTTGGGTTACGCTTGAAGTTACTGTTACACAATCAGAAGCTTCAGGAACGAGATGATAGGGAAAAAAATTCAACCGTGAAAGATAATGACCCAAAGAAAGATACATCTTTCGATTCAGTGCAGCTTGACAAACAAAAGAATAAAAGAGAATCAATCTTTGCTGTTGATGTGGAAATACTCAGTATATCAGCTGAGGTGGGAGATGGAGTCGAAACCTTGATCCAGGTTCAATCCATCTTTTCTGAGAATACTCGAATAGGTGTGCTTCTTGAAGGACTTGTGCTCAATTTGAATGAAGCTAGAGTTTTCAAAAGCAGCAGAATGCAAATATCTCGAATTCCCAATGCCTCAGGGAGTGCTTTAGATGCAAAATCTGAGAGACTAACTACATGGGACTGGGTAATTCAAGCCCTTGATGTACATATATGCATGCCATATAGGTTGCAGTTGCGTGCAATTGATGATTCCGTGGAGGAAATGCTGCGAGCTTTGAAGCTTATTACTGCTGCTAAAAGTCAACTAATATTTCCATCTAAAAATGAGAGTGCAAAACCCAAAAAGGCTAGTTCAACAAGAACTGGATGTGTAAAATTTTGCATACGTAAACTAACTGCTGACATCGAAGAAGAGCCAATACAGGGTTGGCTTGATGAACATTATCAGCTTTTGAAAAATGAGGCACGTGAATTAGCAGTTAGGTTAAATTTTCTAGATGAACTAATTTCCAAGGGTGGCAAGTGTCAGGGAGCCTCTGAACGACATGATTCTACCCATGAAGGAAAATTTAATTTTAAGGGTGAGGAGATTGATTTACAAGATGATGCAGTTATCAAAAAATTGCGAGATGAGATATATCAACAGTCATTCCGGTCATATTTCCAAGCATGTCAGAACATTGTGCCATCACAAGGATCAGGAGCTTGTAAAGATGGTTTCCAATCTGGTTTCAAACCTAGTAAGGAAAGATCTTCTCTTTTTTCCATTTCTGCTACTGAGATAGATTTTAGCCTGTCGAAAATAGAAGGGGGTGATGCTGGGATGATTGAAGTGTTGCAGAAGCTTGATCCCATATGTCGTGCACATGGCATTCCATTTTCAAAACTTTATGGTGGAAATATTGCTTTGCATACTGGTTCCCTTGTTGCTCGGATAAGAAACTACACATGTCCTTTATTTGCTGCAACTTCAGGTCGTTGCGAAGGTCGTCTCGTGCTGGCTCAGCAGGTATGTATATTTCTTTCATTACTCTCTCCCACTTGTATGTACTTTCATGCTAATGATACATGCTTTTCTAATTGATAGTACCTAATATAAATTGTACCTGAACTCCTCGCTCCACTCTTGAGGCCTTCATTAATCGCCTTTCCTTGAGTGCTATTTGTCAAGACTTGCGTCCTGACTTACTAGGCTCATGCCTGTAGACGTAAGACTTGGGACAACTGAGGTGTGTATTCAGTTTTCTTGCTCTCTCTCTCTCTCTCTCTAGGCTTTTTACTATTTCCCTTAGCTTTAAGGTTTCTTTTTTAGCCTAGAATGTTTTATAGAATTTCTGGGCAATTTTAGACAATGCAAACCTAAAAACTAGAAAGAAAAATTGGATAATAGAGAAGCAATTAAAAAAGGCTAAATTGGGTAAGCCTCACCTCGAACCAAAAAAAGAAAAAAAATAGAAAAACACAAAAATAAGCCAAAAAGGTAAAAAGCACATAAGTAAAGTACATGTTAAGTACTATCATAAAGTAGAAAAAATAACTATTTATTTTTTAGAATCTAGAAGGCTACAGTTATGCAAAACAGCAGTAAACTGGAAATAAAAGAGATGAGAATAAATCCAGAACAAGTCATACAACAGAAACTGAAAAAAAAAAAAAAAAAAAAAAAAAAAAAAAAAACCAAACCAAAAAAAAAAACCCAAAAAAAAAAAAAAAAAAAAAAAAAAAAAGAAAAGAAAATAGAAACCAAACCAGACAAAAAGACTCATACAACAGAAACTGAAAAAAAAGAAAGAAAAGAAAATAGAAACCAAACCAGACAAAAAGACTAGACAGATGATAGGAGAGAGGATGACGAGAAATATAGAAACTTGCAAAAGCTAATAGAATAGAGAAATGTTCAATAACTGCTTCTGCCATGCACATTTTTCCAGGAGTCATTATGTTTGGGGTGTGGCTATTTTTTGTTTTTGCTGTTAAGTTTGAGCTGCTTTATTCGAATGCTAATTATTAGCTTTGTTATATTTGTATATAGTGTTAAACAAAGAAGACTGACTTTTAAAATTATGTTGGGGTCAAGCATGATGAAGAATTGAAACCAACAATGGAACAATGGCCATTATTAACATTTTTTTTTTATAATAGTATTAGTGTTAGACCAAGAAAAGTAACATTTAAAACCCTGTGGACCTATTATAATAAAAATTGAAACCAATTAAGGAGCACATGCCTTGAGGTTTCTGAGGCGTAAGCCTCAATCATGAGGCTTGCACCATGAAAAAGATCTTTCAAAGTGTGTCTCGAGGCATTTTCCTACCACCTTACGCTTAGGCGTGCATGGTGCGGAAGCGATATGAAGTTCTTGTAATAAGAATTGAAACAAGAAATATGTTGGAATAACTTGCTTTTATTGATTGAATAATGATTGATGATATGAAAATTGTACATAGTCCCTATATTTATAGGGAAATTATTCATTACTCTAATAGTATTAGGAAATTGAAATTAATGTGAACTATAATCCTAATCAAATAAAATATAAAAATCATATTACAACTAAATAGATAAATATAATTAAAAGACAAACTCCTAGAAACCATAATTGTAGTAAAACTCTAGTAGTTGTGATGTACTACATCAATCCCCTCCACTTGAAGGAAACTCGTACTCGAGTTTGGTTGAAGAAAAAGAAAATCAATCAATCGGGAGGAAAATATTCATTTTTTTTTTTTACAATCACTGTGTCTGCAAGTAATAATGAAAAGTTCCGACTTTTGGGAATGCTAGTCCCAGTTTGTACATTCTTGAAACCAATTGAATTTAAACTTGGCTTGGAATTGCGTTTTTATCATTGCATAGAAGTCTTTTAACTTTTTTTCCACCTTCAGATCTTTCTTCTAATCAACCCAACAAATTCGATGAATCATCATTGATGGTTATAAATTATTTTTCTCTAGAAAGACTACTTACATGAGAGACTCCAAATATCCCCGTGAATGAGTAAGAACGACTTAGAATGTTGCTATGAATAAGTAAGAATGACTTAGATGGCATACGTGAGTTTGAATGTAAAAAAGTACGATGGTTCTTGGCAGATTGACAAATTTCATATTGAAACATGGATAAATTTTTTACTTTTGAGTAACGAAGGAAATTCGTTCTTTAAATTTGGAAAACTCGGACGTCCTAACCTACGATGCCAAAACGTAATTTTATTCTCAACGGAAAGAGAAAAGGCATTACTTCTTTGTAAGCATGATAGTTATGCCTGAATTAACATGCTTGTGTTACCTTCAGAATTTATATCTGAAAAGAGACAAATTATTACATTATGGAGCGGTGCAAGAACGTGTTGATTTGGTCAAAAAGCTTTAATAGTTAATCTTATAGCTTAGCATATGCTGTTTTTACTTTTTGCATTCTCTTGATTTATTTTTAAGTTTCTTTCCGAGTCATGTTTATAATCTTATTGAGACTTCTTTTCCCTCTCTTTCTTTTTTTTCCCCTGTTTGCAGGCGACCTGTTTTCAGCCTCAAATTCACCAAAATGTCTACATCGGGAATTGGAGGAAAGTTTCCATGCTTCGCTCAGCTAGTGGCACTACTCCTCCAGTAAAAACATATTGTGATTTGCCCATACATTTTCAGAGAGGAGAAGTTTCCTTTGGCGTTGGTTTTGAACCATCGTTCGCTGATATTAGTTATGCTTTTACTGTTGCTCTTCGTAGGGCCAATTTGAGCATTAGGAATCCAAATCCTGACGTTCAGCCACCTAAAAAGGAAAAGAGCTTACCATGGTGGGATGAAATGAGAAACTATATTCACGGGAACACCACTTTATATTTTTCTGATACCAGATGGAATGTTCTTGCTACCACAGATCCATATGAAAACTCTGATAAACTTTGTATTGTTTCGGGTGATATGGAAATCCAGCAATCAGACGGTCGCGTTTATGTTTCTGCTAAAAATTTTAAGATTTTACTGAGCAGTTTAGAGAGGTTAATGAATAATTGCAGCTCGAAACATTCAACTGGCTTTTCTGGAGCTTTCATTGAGGCCCCAATTTTCAATGTTGAAGTTACAATGGAATGGGATTGTCAATCTGGCAATCCTCTAAATCATTATTTATTTGCACTTCCCAATGAAGGGGTTCCTCGTGAAAAGGTTTATGATCCCTTCAGATCCACTTTTCTTTCCCTGCAATGGAATTTGTCCCTTAGGCCCCATTTGATTTCTAGTGGTATTCAGTCACAATCCTCTTCCATTGATAGTCATACTGCTGTGGATGGAGTTTTCTATAGTCCATTGAAATCAGGAAATGCATCTGTGGATGGACCAATTATGAATGTTGGTCATCATGATTTAGCATGGATTATTAAATTCTGGTATTTGAACTACATTCCTCCTCATAAATTGCGGACTTTTTCCAGGTGGCCCCGATTTGGGATCCCTAGGGTTCCCAGATCAGGCAATCTGTCCCTAGACAAGGTAATGACAGAATTTATGTTCCGGGTTGATGGAACCCCAACATGTATTCGACATGTGCCTTTACAAGATGACGACCCAGCTAAGGGACTGACGTTTAAGATGACAAAGCTGAAATATGAACTTTATTACGGTCGCGGTAAGCAAAAATATACATTTGAAAGCATTCGCGATCCTCTTGATCTTGTCTATCAGGGTCTTGACCTTCACATGCCCAAAGTATTTCTAAATAGGGTTGATTGCCCAACTGTTTCAAAAGTACTTCAAATGGCTAGGAAACATTCCCAGTCTGCATCAATGGACAAGGTCACAAATGATAAAAACACCCCTACAAGCAACAACACTGAAAAGCACCTTGATGATGGATTTTTATTATCATCTGATTACTTTACCATCCGAAGGCAAGCCCCAAAGGCTGACCCTGCAAGGTTATTAGCTTGGCAGGAATCTGGTAGAAGAAATATTGAGATGACATATGTCAGATCTGAGTTTGAAAATGGGAGTGAAAGTGATGGGCACACAAGATCTGACCAAAGTGATGATGATGGATATAATGTAGTTATTGCTGACAATTGTCAGAGAATTTTTGTGTATGGTCTGAAGCTTCTATGGACTCTTGAAAATAGAGATGCTGTTTGGTCCTGGGTAGGTGGGCTATCGAAGGCATTTGAACCTCCAAAGCCTTCTCCTTCTCGGCAATATGCACAGAGGAAGTTGCTTGAGGAAAACAAGGTTCTTGATACTCCTGAAATGGTGAAAAATGATAACCAACACATTGATCCTTCAAGTTCTCAATCTTCATCATCAAATCAAGTCTCAAAAGAGAACCCTTCATCTAGTGCAAATGGTAAGTTCGGAACTTTATGTAACTTTCATTAATGTGCAGGTTAAATTTAAGATCAGAAATTTGGCACTTAGCTAAAATGATTCAGATGTGAATACAAAGAGAGCTATGTCAATTAAAGAACCACTTTGGACATTTGGTTATGAGTCTGTTCACCACTTTTAAATCCCATCCCGTCTTCCAAATATTAGGTTTTGCCAGCCAAAATGTTTGTTCTCTTGCATTATCTAGGCTTCCATGCTGAGAATTTGTAATACAGATCAGCACTGAAATATTCGCTAGCTATGCTACATATTCTTTGTTGAAATCCTTCACCTTTGTAAAATTGAATAGCATCTTTTTTAAGTTGATATGCAATCTTTGTTTCTAATACAGCAAAGCTTGGCACCTATGATGACTCTGAGAAGGAGGGCACACGCCATTTCATGGTGAATGTTATTGAGCCGCAATTCAATCTTCACTCAGAAGAAGCCAATGTAAGTAATTATCAGCATTAGAACTTAATATATTTAGAACTTCATGGCAAACCAAAAAGAACACATATGATGTAGGTAGCTTTAATAAAACTATAATAAAATTTGTGATGATGAATTCCATTATGGGGTTTGATGCGCATCGCGTTGCCTATAAGTTTGATCATGGGTGTGATGCTTTTCTGAACTAGAGAAGTGGTCTTAGTAGTGTTCTTCGGGGATCTTTTAGATTCTGAAGAAAAGTACCTAATAGCAGCGCTTAAAAGTCGGGGGAGAAGAAATAAGAGAAAAAGAACATAAGAGAGCAGCAACTTCGGGTTAGACAAATTCATGCAACACAATACCAAATTTTTGTTTTTTAGTCCGTAGAATAAATAAATTTCTTAAATACTCTACTGCACATGGACTAATACCCTTAAACAGGAAAACCCTGACTAATGAAATCTGAGATTACTGCAAGACAACTACAAAATCATGATAAAAAGGAGGATTACATTAAATAACTATTTAAGCAATGGACAATTTTAGCATATATTAGCAAACTAAACTACCTTCGACTCTAGAAACGTGATAATTCTTAAGTGAAATATTACAGAAGCTTCTTAACTAACTAAAATACATATTTAATTTTAAAAAGTTCTAAAAATCGTTCTTAATCCAACTAGACATAGAATTGTAGCTTTCCTCTTCATTTGTAAATATGTTCAGCATCTCTACATGAGATACGTTGATGGACATCAAAATTTATGCAGTTTTAAGAGTGGAATGTGGACTTCGTTCAGATGGTGACATAATCGGTAACTTGAACTTGAGCATTTTGAGCCAAGTTTCAAGCTTTCACTAGTTGTTAGGCTAGTGGTTTGGTTCAGAAGTGATTCAAAGCTCCCCTCGTGGTGGTGCAATAAAAAAATGTAAGCCTGTCCACATATAAACAGAGAGAGAGAGAGAGAGAGAGAGAGAGAGAGAGAGAGAGAGAGAGAGAGAGAGAGTTTTTTTGTGATGGCTTGGGCATCATCAGATTGGTTTCCATCAATAATAAGTCGGGCTTAAGAGCTCTAGCATCTTCCTGTACTAGGGTGCCAACACAAACGATTTTTCACATCATTGATCAAATTAGAAGAGCCACGGGCCATTTAGAAAGATAATTCTGGAATAATTCTCCCTTCTTGTGATAATCTTAGGATGCTTATTCATAGAGTAATGTGGTAAGGCCCTTTATTGACAGGGTAGATTTTTACTTGCTGCTGCTAGTGGTCGTGTTTTAGCTCGTTCATTCCATTCAGTCCTTCAAGTTGGCCATGAGATGATTGAACAAGCACTAGGTGGAGGAAATATTCCAGTTCCTGAATCTCAACCTGAAATGACATGGAACCGCATGGAGTTCTCTGTGATGTTGGAGCATGTGCAGGCTCATGTAGCTCCAACTGATGTTGACCCTGGGGCTGGATTGCAGTGGCTTCCAAAAATTCAGAGCTCACCCAAAGTGAAGCGTACTGGAGCTTTACTGGAACGGGTGTTTATGCCCTGTGACATGTATTTTCGCTATACAAGGCACAAAGGTGGAACCTCTGATTTGAAGGTATGTATAAACATCCTGACAGGTCACAGTTGCCAACTACCAACTAAATTGGTGAAGGCCTTTTCCCTCACGTTGTTATCATAGCTTATCATATATTCATTATGCTCCAGGTGAAACCTTTGAAAGAGCTCGCTTTCAATTCTCATAATATAACTGCATCAATGACTTCTAGACAGTTTCAAGTCATGCTTGATGTGTTGACCAATCTTCTTTTTGCTCGGCTCCCTAAGTAAGTATATAACTACAGTATTTGTCTTTCTACTTTGAATAATTGCACTGCTTTTTGCAAAATTTGTAATTTTTATGTTGTTTTCATTGCAGTACCTTGATAGCCATCTCGTTAAGTTACTATTTGATTGATACAATGGCTACCATTATCTAAGATTGGGGTTTCCTCTATCAAATTCACTGATTTAGCAAATAATTATGCACCAAATACGTGAGATGAATATGTTATAATAGAAAAGAGTGTGTCAAATATACTCAGTGATACTCAATAAGATTCGATATCTGTGAAAGGTTCTCTCATTATATAGAACCAAAATCATAACTAAATATAGTAGTTATCAATTATAATATTCATTAATGGTAACCTATTTAATATGGTAACTTTCCTTTTATTTGAGCTTTCCTTACATCTCATTGACATCCTCCTCAAATTAATGATGGTAAAAATATCAATTTGCAATCATGAACTAGTGGCGGTGACAATGCTCGTGCCCAAAGAAGAGACCTAAATTGTTAAGGAAAGAAATCATGTATAGTTATGTATATTAGGCAATAAGAAATAACATATATTGGGTTTCCATATTTGTACTCTTGATTTACTCTATGCCCCTGTTTGGCCCCCATTTTTCGGTAATGAAAATGGGAGGAATAATGTTTTTTTGAAAAATGAGAGGTTGTAAAAGAAGGAAAATTTTTCGATTTACGTGTAATGTTATTTTATGAAAGATTGTGTGGTTGAAAATAGGAGAGAGAAAAATAGAATGTAATGGAATGTAATTTAATGGGGGCCAAACAGGGGCTATATAATGAAAGTATGAGAGGGAGGTGATTAACTTCTTTTCTCGAAGTTTATACCTAAGCCTTTATCCTCAACATGGTATCAGAGCCATACCACTTAGAGATCGTTGTTCCTTTGTGATCGCGCGCTTTGGAATCTGTGACGACGTTTTCTGTTTTTTGCTTCATCAGTGGGTATCGATTTTATGTTAGTGCGTGTCATGGGTGGTCAAATTTTTGAGATTCTCCAGCGTTTTTGTGATACGATTGGCGTGATTGTACATCGCCAACGTCTCCGTGGGCGATCGACGCGATCTTTAGCAGGGTTGTGTAGGCTTTGTTACTTGATGCATACTTGTGTGGTCGGAGTTGCATCAGATTTTCTCTAGCATCTTTGTGAGTGCGATCGGCGTGCCTATGCTTGGTTTGTGTGGAGTTCGTGAAGCCCATTTGTGAAGCCTATTTTGACAATGTTTTGTTGAATGATTTTCTAGTGTATCTTCCTTTGCTTTATAGAAGTTACAAGTTATTTAAGGAAACAATGTATACATGGAAACTAGCTATTATGTACAAAGAAACTACCTAAATTGTAGTAAGTAAATAATTTCTAATAATACACACTAATACCTCCCCTCAAATTGATGTTGGGGAGTCCACAAGTATCAATTTGCAGATAAGATAATTATGACAGTGGCGAGTTAGAGATTTGGTGAAGATATTTGCAACTTGTTGAGAAGTGGAAACATGGGGAAGAGCGATGACCTTAGAATCATAGGCATCCCGAATATAATGACAGTTCGCTTCGATATATTCGGTGCATTCATGATACACTGGATTGACCGCAATCTGAATAGCACTAGTGTTGTCACCATGAAGAGGCGTAGGCTGTGACTGAGAGAAATCAAGTTTGGCAAGAAGACCACAAACCACACAACCTCAGAACATGCAGCCAACATATCTCGGTATTCATCCTCAGTGGAGGATTTAGAAACACAGTCTTGTTTCTTACATTTCCAAGAAATAAGAGCATTACCCAAAAAAATACACGACCTAGTACTAGAACGACGAGAATCAGGACAACTAGCCCAATCAGCATCAATGTAAGCTGTGAGCTCAAGAGTGACCCCCGAGGAAAAAAGAGACCACAATGAGAAGTTCCAATAAGATAGCGAATAATGCGACGGATCGCTACCAAATGAAGATGACGAGGGGCATCCAAAAACTTGCTTACAGTATGAATTGTAAATGAAATATCTGGATGTGTGATAGTGAGATAGACGAGACTACCAACCAACTTTTGATAAAGGGTAGGATCTGGAAGAATATCTCCTTCGACTCTTCGATAGTGAAGATGACGAGGGGCATCCAAAAACTTGCTTACAGTATGAATTGTAAATGAAATATCTGGATGTGTGATAGTGAGATAGACGAGACTACCAACCAACTTTTGATAAAGGGTAGGATCTGGAAGAATACCTCCTTCGACTCTTCGATATTTAACATTAAACTCTAGTGGCGTATCAATTGAGGAGGCTTCAGATAGATTAGCTAGGTCAATCAATCTTGAATATACTTATGTTGATTTAAGAAAAGACCATGTGACAAGTATGTACTTCTAAGCCAAGAAAGTAAGCAAGCTGACCAAGGTCTTTCATATGAAAAATCGAGTGAAGATGTTGCTGAAGTTTCTGAATAAGACTATGATCAGATCCAGAGATAATAATATCATCCACATATACCAACAAAAAAACAATGCCAGCGGTACTCTTATGAAAAAACAGAGATGCGTCGTACGAGCTCTGAGTAAAAGAGACCACAGCCCATCTATACAGTCCAAACCTCAGTCCAAAAAAAATTGTTAACAAACAACTGTAACCTGTGAGATCGAAAAATTAAATTGGAGATGTGAAATTCCCAACCCAACTACGAAGAGTCTTGTAGCCCAACACCGAGACGTCGAAAATCTGGTTCGACATGAAATTAACAACCAAACTGAAAGGAAACTGTGACCAAGCACAAATACACTGCGCTAACTGAGAGATGCGAATTGAGGACACGACGCGAGACGAGGACGAAGACCAAGACGCAAGGCTGATCAGGATGGAAGTTCGAAGAATCCAGATGATGCCCGAGAAGCAGCCACCGATTACTATGAACTGAGAGCCAATCACCTAGAATCACATGTAAGACTAAGGGCTCTGATACCATGACAATATTTTGCTGAATGATTTTCTCGGGTATCTTCCTTTGCTTTATAGAAGTTACAAGTTATTTAAGGATACAAAGTATACATGGAAACTAGTTATTATGTACAAGAAATTATTGGTTTTTTTAAAATTTTTCTTTCCTTTTTTTTTTTTTTTTTTTTTTTTTTTTGAGCCAAATCTTGAAGTGGGCTTAATCTTGATATGTTCAATCTCATCAGACTCATGGCTCCTGAAACTTTTTTTTTTTTTGATAGGTAGCTCCTGAAAAATTGAATGAAAGAAATTACACTTATTAGGCTTGGTGTGTGGAAGGGTTTTATTTATTTATTTTATTATTATTATTTTTTTTTGCGGGGTGAAGGTTTACTTAACTATTGGATCCTTGGCAAGTCGTCTACTAAGTCCTTATACAATGATTTTGCAAAGACTGATTCTATTCTCAATGATTGATGGGAGCAAGAGGATAACACTATCACTGGCATTATGATCAATGGTATTGAGCCTCATATTGGGTCCGCATCCCTTTATGTCTACGACTAAGCAAATTTAGGAACACCTGAAACATATATTTATTGACACTGGAAACATTACTCGGATATATGAGACATGTAAATAGTACTTTGGACTTCAGAAGGACTCCCCTTATCTCATTGAATATTACAATAGGCTTTTGGCTGTGTCAAGAGAGAAATGTTCATTAACCTCTCTCTTGCTTTGTAGGTTACGAAAAAACGAAGGGAGGATATTGATGATGTTAAATTTCTTATCGGTCTTCCTTTAGAATTTGAAGTAGTTTGACCATAGATGCAGATTGGGTAGGATCTCTTTCAGATAGACGATCTACTATTGGTTTCTATATCTTTCTCGGTGGTAAAAAACAAATTGTAGTAGCAAGGTTAAATGCAGAAGCAGGATATAGGACAATGGTTCATACTATTAGTGAGTTGACATGGTTACAACACTTTCTTCAAGAAATTAATCTCTCACCTCCTCCTCCTATTCCGATGTTTTCTGTGATAATCAGGGTTCTCTACATATTGCATCCAATCCAGTCTTTTATGAGAGGATCAAATACATTGAAGTTGATTATCACTTTGTTCAACAAGATAGTGAGTGGTGATATATGTACACCATTTGTGAAGATCGGAGACCAGCTTGTTGATGTGTTCACAAAATCACTGAATAGTAATTGGTTGAGATTTCTTTGTTCTAAGCTAGGCTTATATGATATATATGCTCCAGTTTGAGGGAGAGTGTTAAAAAAAGAAATCATGTATAGTCATGTATATCAGGCAATAAGAAATAACGTATATTGGGTTTCCATATTTGTACACTTGATGTACTCTATATAATGAAAGTATGAGAGGAAGGTGAATAACCTCCTCTCGAAGTTAAATACCAAAGCCTTTATCCTCAACATGAGTCAACGCAACCTTCTACGAATAACAGTAACGACGAGAGACCAAAGAGCAACAAATAGTGCAAAACTGCCAAGAATCACATCAAAACCACTCCAAAGTTACACCATAGAGCTCACATCTCAAGAAAAATTTCCAAGTGTGTGGCGTGTTCTAATAAAAGCTCTAACGGCCAATGCACTCTTAAAAAATTTAGCAATATATCGTTGGCAAAAATGCTGCAGTTGGCAGAAATCCCACTAAACAGCCTACACCAAAAAACTTAAAGATGATCCTCTTTCGAGAATCAAAGAAAACTATCATAATACCAAGATGACTGGACGGGAGGAGCTTTATCTGCTTCTCCCGCCGTGGGAAAATTCGATTGAACTGGTTTTGATACCATATCAAATATACTCAATGATACTGAATAAGACTCAGTGCCTCTTAATGTGAGAGGTTCTCTCATTATATAAAATCAAAATCACAACTAAATATGGTAGTTATTAATTACAATATTCATTAATGGTAACTTATTAAATATGGCCGTTTTCCTTATATTTGAGCTTTCCTTATATCCTACTAATAGAGTGCGGTTACACCTCCTCTAGAGACTAAAAAATTCCAATTTTTTTTCCATAATTTGATAGGGTATTAAGAAACTATTGCCTTAATGTAACAGAGCAAAATGATGGGAAATGGATAGAATTTTTTTTTTTTTTTTTAGTCATATCCAGTTAGAAATGTTCCTTGAATTGTTGAAATGACTTGCCCCATAACTGATCTATGTATAATGCTATATACTCACCATGGTTTTGTAATAAACAAGCTGCCTTATAGTAAGAAGTGGACCTAGCAGCAAAACAAATATCAAGCTATTCAAAATGATATATTTTACTTGATTGAGACTTAGATGTTATTTCTTTCCGTCAAGATTGGAGACTTGGAAAAACTATGGTTGGTTTGGTAGCCTCAAAAGTAACAGCAGGTCAGCTAACATAAGTTGTGAAAACTTCAAGCAATTGGAGAATTTTTCCTGATGACAATTTCAGCTGGATTCAAAGACCTACAGATGATAGCATCATTTGTTTGATGAAGTCGAGATTAGCATCTGATGAGATGGTGATTTGATGCATAATTTTAGTACGTCATGATGTACAGGTTAATTATACATGAAAGTCCTTATTACGTTACGTCTATCAGAAGTACTTGGTCTTTTAAAGGAATGGGAGTACACCTTACTATACGTGTTAACAGTTGCTTAATATTGAAGTTCATGAGCAAGTTTTATTGCAGATCTTATGTATTATTTTTGAGTACTGTCATCTAATCGAAGCTAATTATTATTTTGTTAACTGAGTCGTGCATAAATTGTTCATTCCAATTCTACTGTCAAGAACATGGAAAAATCATTATTTCTCCTAGACTGGTACTCATACTCTCTTGAGCAAACAGTTTGTCAAGATATGACTGATGTTACATTACCTACAATTCCATTTATTGAATACTCCAAGGTCTTAAGTGATTCAATTGTTGATTCAGGCCTCGAAAAAGTAGTCTGTCATACTCAGCCGAAGATGATGATGATGTTGAAGAGGAGGCAGATGAAGTGGTTCCTGATGGGGTTGAAGAGGTAGAACTAGCTAGAATTAATCTTGAACAGAAAGGAAGGGCGCAGAAGTTGATTCTTGGTGACATAAGTAAATTGTCGCTTCATGGTGATATTTCTGTTGATGCATATTCAGAAAAGGATATGGATCTATGGATGATAACTGGCGGAAGGTCCACAATGGTAAATTCAAAACATTTGCCCAAATGTTTTTACGTTTACAAGCTTTCTCAATTAACTCTATCCGGATTTCTAATTTGTATCTTTCGTTGCCGGTATGTGCCAGTGTAACAATTATTCATTCTTTTCAAGGCTTGGCTTGTGCTAACTATGGAATTTTGTTTTCTATTTTATGGGTTAACGTATCAGAATGCGAAATCGTAGCTATGTACATATCTGTAATTAGATTGATACGACCCTATATTGAAGCCACATACATTACTATCTTGTAGACAACCCCTGTTTATCAGAAAAATTCCTTCATTTATATGTGGATGTCTGGACGAGAATGATGAAGAATGAGAGAAACTTAATAAACATATCCTAATTCCCTACAGGTTCTTGGTTCCATCAAAAGCTTTCCCATGCCTCTTGCACTTGAAGCCCTTCTCTACCCGATGTATTATCTTTGGCATCTTGTTTGCTGATTATTTTCATAAAACTTGGCATTTGGTGTCTTATCTGCAGGGTTTGTTGTTATTTTCATTTCATGCATGTGTTGCATCTTCATGCCTATATTTCACTCAGGAAAAGTAAAGAAAAATTACATCAGATTTGTAGGATGGTTCATCTCGCAGGAACCTTAGCTGATCAAATGATAATCATAGTATTACAGATTACTAATGATGTTGCAAATGTCCCCACCCCTTCCCCCCTATATAAAAAAAAAAAAAAAAAAAAAAAAAAAATTTCTTTTATCTCAAGTCTCTTATATATAGAGGTTTTGAATTTGAATCATGGGATGTGAGAGAAATTCTTGAAGGGTAAGATGGTCTTTGGCTCTCTCAAAGCGGACTGTACGTAAGTTAACTGCTTTAACATAGAGGTCGGGTTGTTAGAAAAGCCTAGTTGATACCAAAATTCAATTCAGATATCTCATAAGGTAGAGGTCTTGAGTTCGAATCTTGAAAGACGCGATAGAAATCCATAAGGGGTTAGAGGGTAGAGGCCCTTCCAAAGCGGACAATATATATGATATAACGACTTAGGCATGAGGCTTGAGTCGTTACACCGTCGCCAACAATGATGGTTGCTTTTATTGTTTTCTGGTCAATGTGCTGCACATTGTAATCAGTTATATTTAGACAGTTTGCAATGCCAAGGACCTTTACTAGGATTTCTTCTTCCTTTATTTCCGATGCCATGCCTTGCTATATCTGCACTAATTGCGGAGATCAGTGATAACCCTTCATTTTCTGCACGACTTCCATTTTTTAATGATTCAGCTTGTCAATACTGTTATTAGCCATACATCATGTTTGTACCCAAAATCTTGGTACTGGTAACTGAAGATGACACAAATGATTTACTTGATTCATTTGTTCTCTTAGTCTCTATGAAGTACTTATTTTGCAATTTATTGCTGCAGATATATGACTTTGACAGGGATTACAAGGATGTTGGTGTTGCTAAGTTCACAACCAAGTACTTTGTTGTAAGAAATTGCTTGCACAAAGCCAAGAAGTCTGATATGCTTTTGTCAGCATGGAATCCTCCGTCTGAATGGGGAAAGTATGAATTTTTTCTTCATTAATGTTCATTGTTCTTAATCTTATACAGCTATTTCCTGCTTTTCTTTTTGCTGTGGTATCATGCATCTGTGATAGAGATGCATCCACCTCCAACATTTCATCATATTTTTATGGCTGGTATAGAATATTGGATTTACGTTGTATACCTTGAGCATGCAAAAGAAATGTTACACAGCCTGCTTTAATGTCACCCCACAAGTAACAGATTCCTTCTCAACTGCTTCAGCGTAGAGCAGTTGCTTCTGATAACATAGCACAATTCTGAAAATGACAGCGGATTGAACAATTTTATTTTTATTGTTATGCTTAATAGAAATTTTTGTTTTTCTAATATGAATTACTACAAACGAATCTCCACCCAAACCCCAGGCCTGTCAAATTACATTTTGTAAACAGTTTTGTGAGTTTCAGCTGTTGAATCATTTGCTATCATGTGCAGCAAAGTAAGTTCCCACTTTCGGCTTAACCAACAGGTGCATTCTGGTTCATTCCCCATCTCTATCCACCAAATAAATTCCTTACCTTGCAATCTCTTGCCACCAGGTCCACTACAATGCACTATCATCTTATTTTTCTGGTAACCTTATAGCTAGTGCCCGAACTCAGTTTGCTGAAAACTTCCTTATCACAACATCTCAAACTATACTTTTACGTAGATAAATAATGCATAATTGATACAGTAATCAAGTGGCCTAGTGGTTAACGGCACCCCGGAGGGTTATTTTTGGAGCAGCAGAGGTTTGAGGCAAAGGGACCTATTGTCTCCATTGTTCGTTATTTTAATGGAGGCATTCAGTAAGATGTTTGAGAAAGCAGTGGGGGAGGGTTTGATAAGAGGCTTTATGGTTGGTCACCTATAGGTGTCTCATTTGCTATTCGCAGATGATACATTGATTCTATGTGACGTAGATAATGAGCAATTGAGGAACTTGCATCGATTGCTGCTATGCTTTGAAGCGGTGTTTGGATTGAAAATAAATTTAGGGAAATCTGAGGCTATTCCAGTGGGAGAGGTCACTAACTTGGAGAAGCTGGCTAATATATTGGGTTGTAGGGTTGCGCAGTTACCTATGTCGTATCTTGGGCTCCCATTAGGGGGCAAGGTTTAAAAGTAAACATATTTGAAATGGAATTGTCGAAAGGATGGAGAAGATGTTAGCGGGGTGGAAGGTTATGTACCTTTCCAGAGGAGGTTGCCTAACTCTCATTAAATCCACGTTCTCTAATCTCCCTACTTATTTTTTGTTATTGTTTTTGATTCCTGTTATAGTGGCAAATAGATTAGAGAGTATTCAAAGGGATTTCTATGGTAAGGATTGGGAGGAGAGAAAATTGCACTTGGTTAATTGGGGTGTTGTTTGTTCTCCTTTAAAGATGGGTGGCCTATTTTTGTTTAATAAAACTTTATTGGGCAAGTGGCTGTGATGATTTGGGGTGGAGAGGGAGATTCTTTGGAGAGAGATCATAGGAGCAAAGTATGGCGAGATGGAAGGGGGGTGGTGCTCGGTTGAGGGCCATGGATCTTATGGGGGTGAGTTTGTGGAGGTATATTAAACTAGGATGGAATAATTTTCGAGATAAATTGACTTATGTGGTGGGGAATGGTAACAATTTCAGATTTTAGGATGATTGTTGGTGTGGAGACAAATAACCATCCTGTTTCTTCGTATGATGCTTCGGTTGCACGAAATCTAGGGAGATAGAGAGTTCCTATTGGCATGTTGGTCTTCAGCTCCAGTTTCAGAATTGAGGCAAAACAATTTGTTGTGTCTGTTACTGATTCAGGCATGGTTAAGATATCAGAATGGGGAGCTAAGATCTCCAGTGCTATTCTCATGGGAAGATTTCGAGCTATGTGGATGGTTAATATGATGGATAAGTTAAGGATGGCTAGTGTGTCGGAGGATTTTGTAGCGAAATTTAACGAGACCCCCCGAGCGTTTTTGGCACAACGATGTACTAACAATCGTGGAAGATATCTCATAATAGCGCAGTATAGGGAGCGGAGACGACAGGGTGTAGTGATGGTACCTGAAGGGCGTAATGGAGAGGGATGGGCAGCGATCTCTCGCGTGTTTCAAGCAGTTATATAATTATTTGTTGTCGAAGATAAGGCTAAGCATCGAGTAGTGGAAGATCAGAGCCTGCAAGGGATGACCTATGCTGCAGTTACGGCACGAGCCTCTCAGAATGCTGATCAATGGGTACGGACGCAGAAGGATAAATTGGTAAATGAGAGGAGTGGTCCACGAATCTGGGGACCAACCAAGGAAGGCCATTTAACGGCGCATACGGACAGCAATAAGACTACTGAAGGAACGTATGATATTTCTGCAAACTATGCTGACATAAGGGCACATATAAAGGCAC